TAAACTCTTTTCCAAGACCTCCAACATGGAGTAGCATTCTAGCATTCCTCACATAAACCCTAATTCAGGACATATTTCTAGGCACATTTCCATAAGGAAAAACTGACATTCTTGCAGGACTAAAAGCCAAAACTAGAAGCTGAGGGATTCACTGCCTTTTTTTAAAGCCTTTTTCTCCCCCTTCTTTAAGTATCAGGTTCACAAACATGTTGGGATAAACTGCTGACTATAATGGTACTGAATTTAGTTCTTATTAGTGAAGAAGGAAAGAAAACAGTGGCCTATCACACAGTGTAGAGATGAGGATGCTGCTATTTATATCTAAAGAGCCAAACTCCTTTGAAAAAACCCTTTGAGATACAAGAGTATGTCAACCACTAACAACATAAAACTATACAAGTCATCTCCAGCTGTGGATTCTGAGGAATGTGAACAAAGGCATTACAAGGATTTCTGTTTCCTTGACAACAGCACTGCTGGAAGCATGAAAATAATTTTTAAAAAAAATCTCAATGAAGGAACAATCTCTAAACATATCTTGGTATTAACACACCAAAATCGTGAAATAGTCCCTACCTGCACATATTTTTATGACCAAACCCCACCACTTCCACGAATTGCTCTTTGCTGACTTGTGTTACAGCTTTTGCTGCCAATTAGCTCCTGACCCATACTGGCATGTAAGCAGTCAGTACCTCTTGCCAACAGCCAGGTACATTTGTTCCTACACAGGAACTCCTTTACACACAAAATAAGCACTTTATACCCAAATGAGCCATAAGAAATAATTTTGTTAAAAGAAAATATATACAGAGAAACACTTTCAGTACTTTAGAAACTGATTTACCACACTATCAAATAGTGTACTTCTACCTTAATAGTCAGCAAGTTCAAAAGTCTTGGAAAAAAACACACATGGTTCTAATAAGAAAAGGAAGGAAGGTCAGAATAAGGCACCGAAATAAAGAGTCAGCCTTGATGCTTCAGGTACCGCTTTCAATAAAATAAAAATAATTATTTTTAAAAATACAGCATTAGGAACAGACTGACAGCTGTGATAGCACTTTTCTAAGTTTTCAGATAACGTGGTATGCATTTTCAAGAAAAAGACTCCTCACATTCTCAATATTAAAGAAGCATTATCATAATTAGACTTTCAAATGAACCTAAACATTTGAATGCTTGCGGGCACTGGCAGCAGGATATCTAATAGTGCTGAATGAATAGTTTGAATCTAACCTAATGGTGACAAAGTTATAACCACCTGACAGCAATGTGTAAACTTATATGAAGTAATTTGGCAGCCTAAATTCATTAGCTTATGAACAGACATGCACATGACAGAACAATGAGAAGCAATCTATTCTGGTTATTTTGACTGAATCATGCACAGCCTGTTTGAAAACTGAAGCAATACTAGAATTTGTTACTCTAGGGGAGGGTAGCAGCAGTTTTCAAACAAGACTGTATTGCTGCTGTCAATGCTATGCTCATTATGGGAATGAATAGTCTATCACTGTTTCAGTTTGATACAACAAGATCCAGCAAAGAATGAACTTCTAGAATACACTACTTGATTTCCCCCCGCAGAAAAGAGAAAGAATGACGAATTTCTAGAATACACTACTTGATTTTCCCCCCGCAGAAAAGAGAAAGAATGCAACTCTACACAATCACAAGGTCTTCTGACATTAAGGAGCTACCCACTGAAAACTGGACCAAGTGTTCCCGATAAACATGTCTTTCAAGGGGAAAAAAAAAGAAAAAAAAAGAATTATCTCCTAGTACCTGAAACACAAACAACACCTGTGTTCTTCAGTGGTAACCTGTGACTTAAGAATTTATATTTTGCGTTCTAAATCACAAATACTTAAACAAGATCTAATTTTCAGGATGTACTGAATATCCATACTACAAATACCAGGCACCTTTACCCATGCTGAGTCTCAAAATGCATGCAAAGATGCATTTAGTTGTATTAAAAGTCACATTAAAACCATGGCAAAAGCTGAAGTGACATTGAGTGGCATTTCACTGACAGCCGCTCATCAGATTTAAGATAGAAATATTAATACTATCTAAAGAAAGAAGAAAAAAGAAGCATAATCAGTTCAGACAAACATTGAAACAATCACATCCACAACCCTTAAAAGCACACAAAGTAGAAACAGCCACTGACAATACAGCTAGCAGGTATTAGTGATGATGAAGAGCACTGCCACAGTAAAAGCTCCCTGCAGTTCTTACTCCAATTTGAACACTGTTTCCCACCCCTTCCTCGAGCTACTTAGGATGGAAGTACTATCAGGAATGCTACTGCTAGGAAGGGCAGGCAACCCTACCTCCCGGGTTCCCCTGCCAAAGGGGAAGGCTCAAAATCTAGACAGAAGATAAAATACTAGTTCCAAAACATAAATTTAAATTTGCTTGTATTCCCTACAGATGAGAGACTTAACCTCAATTTTTGCATTACAGTATGCTTTACACCCATTCTTAAAGGAGATCTTAAAATGCACATTGGTTAAATTGGGAGAACATAAAGACTGCTCTTTTCCTATTTTAAAAAAAGATACATGATATATTTAAATGAAAAACCCACATGATCAAATCCATGTATATATTTTAAGTATATAGGAAAATGTGATATGGATAAATCACCCTGAACACTACATAAGACACTTTCTCCATTTCCCATCTAAACTAAGACCATTAAATTGAAGTAACTAAATCACCAAGGGTTTCCCCCCATCTCCATGAGGAAAATCATTCCATCCCAAAAAGGAAAATTCTTAGTTTGTGACTGGAAAAAAAGTTTGAACACTGAAAAACAGAAAAGTGATTTTTTTTCAACCATGTAATATAAAAAAATAGTATACAACTATACATCTTTTAATTTAGTCAAAATTTAAGCTACTAATATCTGTCAGTCTGACCTGCTTAGACAGGTCTCTTGCTCCTGACAGATTGCCACTGACTTATGCTGGACCCTTTGAAAAATAAGCTACGGAGTTGCATAGGCTGAATTTAAGGACTGAATCAAAGATATTTACACTATATGAATATTCATTTGTAATTATATCAGGAATTATTCACATGACTAAGTACACAGTTTTATATCTCTGGTTTGCCCACTCTCTCTGCTTGTGCAAGGATTTTAGGTCTCCAGCTAGGTGAAAATAAGCTAGGGAGTTGCACAGGCTGAATTTAAGGACTGAATCAAAGATATTTACACTATAGGAATATTCATTTGTAATTATATCAGGAATTTGTAATTATATCATGACTAATTTAAGTACATAGTTTTATATCTCTGATTTGCCCACTCTCTCTGCTTGGGCAAGGATTTTAGGTCTCCAGCTAGGTGCACCGAGTCTTATTCCAAATAGATATCCTAAGTGAATAGTGTGAACATCCTGTGTGTATCAAAATGTCTTTTCCCTTTAAAGGGCAATAAGATAAGTTGCCACTGCTTGGATTTAAGCTAGCAATTCTAGCAAGTGTTTTTTGAAGTGACTAACAAAGGGGAGAGCTAGGCAAAGGTATGAAATTGAAGAACAGAACGAAAGAAAAACCCACATACAACATCTGTGCTTTAAATTGCTTAGTTTTATACTTACAGCAAGAAATAGATAGCTCCAAGCAATGACCAGTAGCCTAAAAATTCTAAGATAAACTACAGCTTTTCCATGGGAGATTTCTGGGCTTAAGACCCTAAAAAGTTCATGAAATCAGTTTCTTAACAACAAGCCAATACTTAATCTAACTGTGCCCTCTACTGGCTTGAAAGCGATTCACATGAAGGTGCACACTGAAAGAAAATACATTGCTCGTATTGCCACAGTCTTCAATCCAACTGGGAAATGGGAAGCCTTTTTTTAAATCTCTCAATAGAATATCTTCCAAACCATTGATGTTTCAGATGTATTTCATAACACAGCTACAGTATTGCTTCACTAATACTTACACTGGCATTCTCTAATATAGCAAATATTAACAATATTTACCTTGAATTTGTATGTTCAGGGAACCTGGGCAATTAGTTTTGAAAAAGTTTACTATTTAAACTGCATTAAGCTAACTAAACAATAAAAATATAATAAACTAAATAAAATGCAATTCTTTAAACAATAAAACAGCAAATAAGTAAAAGATCAATTTTAATAAGCTCAAGAGAATTTAATTCCTAAAACTTTTAACATGAAAACAGAATTGAAATTCTATTTTGAAGTTAAATGCTCCCATTTGGTTTTAGAAATACACTGAAGTGTATTTCCTATTTCTGGGAAAAAATGCAATATTTCCATATAAGAATTACTAATTTTAAAAATAAACTGGTTTGACCAAATTAAAACAAGAATTGATGTCTATAACTGAAACCAAATACAGCAAAACTAGAAGGAAAAGATACTTTAGGTAGGGAGCAATCAACCTTCAAAAAAAGCTAACGAATTTGTTCACTATCAAATGATGTTTCCCTAGGACATAACAATTGCTATGTAAGTTTAGATAAGAGATTCATTTGACCCAGAGCATTGTCTTCAACATGCCACTTTCTCAAAGTTCCCCAACATATCTTTTCTATGTTGGCAGTCAGTTGTTTAACGATATAAGGCAGAATATGCTTGCCAACTGGGCTTACGGCCACAGTGTCCTTAAAGCAAGACATATTAAAAGAAACGTTAGCCATCATTAATATAGAATCTATGGATTCTATGATCTGTTAGAAGTCTAGCTTGTTAATTTAACATGTGAGAAGTTGACATAAGTAATACAAAAACATCTGCAATATGGAGATTCTTTGCATAGAAAGGAATTGAAGTGAAAGTTTGTAATAGGCTCTGGTACTACAAAGCTCAGGTTCTGTGGACTGTCAAACAACAGCAAGCAGTTTAGTTATTCCCAGAAGAACATTATTCAAGGCAGTGTTTAGGGCAGTAGTTGGTTCACACCAACTACACCAAGGCAGTAGTTGGTTCACAACACATCTTGTATTACATTACCTTGATTGTTTTATCCATAGAAGCTGAGAGAAGCATGTGACTCCGTTCTTGTACAGGACACCATTGGATTTCATTAACAGGACCGCTGTGCTTAGAGATGTGAAATACTAAATTTTGGGGGACTTCAGTTAATCTGTATTTGGATCCCAAGTAGGGCTTAATTAATTCAGAGACCTTTGTCACAGTCTGCTCTCCTGTTATACCTAATTTAACATCACAGTTTGAGTTTTCTCCCTGATTAGATTCTTTTGCTTTGCACACACTAGAATTTTCTTGACGCAGCCTTTTAGGGATATATGGTCTAACTCCCTTTAGAGAAGTAACACTGTCTTTATGTATTCGCTTCTGAGAAGAAATGCCAGAGTTTACTGCAGAGCCTGATGCTTGTTCATAGTTTCTGTAGGTCATGCATAGCGCAGTGTGGCTAGGGCAAGCTCTCCTACAATAAGGAGATGTCAAATAAGCGTTGTTATTCTGGGAATAGTGCTCAGGGGGATCTTCACAAACAGTGCCCAGGCCAGAACTGTCAGCATTCTCAGTACATTGCATTTCATACACTGTTTTTGTGCCCAAAGTACCCGGTGCAAAACTCTGAACATGATTTACAGAACTCAGAAGGCTTTTTCCTCTACCACATGTACCGGGAGCCTCAGTCTTTTCCACTTCTGCCTCAGAGTCTGAATCGTCATAAGCAACCAACGACAAACTCATGGCTACATAGAGCAGCCTGCAGTGCAGCACTGAAATCCTCCAGAAGGATGACCTGCAACAAAGAATTGATCATTCAGAACCCAATTCATTGTAGATTCTACAGTTTGAATCACTTAAAGCATATTTAAATCCCTTTACAAATATCTATGCCTTTATCACTGTTTATCTGTATATTTTATTCCTTTGTTAGAGCACGTCCATACACTCAATTACGCAACATCATTTACCTCCAAGCACTTTACATAAATTTTCAATGCATTGCTGAGATACACTTGCATATCACAAAAAGTGAAAATGAATATGAAAACCAAAACAAAGTTACAACATAAGTACTGTAAATCACTTTAATGATACTTGTTAAAGCACTTTTTCCTGAGTAATGCAATTATGTAGTGCTTTGGGATGTACATCTGTAGGAATAAAAGTAGAAATAAAACTTGAAATAAAAGTATTTCAAGTTTGGAGCAAGGCTAATCCCCATTTCTTTTAAGTTCTCTGCACTGTGAAATAGTATGAACATGTTTAACTGTCAGCTGAAAGGGACTACCTAGAAAATTACTAATGTGTCAAAAACTTACAAGGACACTTTCAAACTCTATCCACAGGGTAAATAGCATATAGCCTGTATTTTACATAACAGGCATATACCAAAAGTTACAATGAATTCACTATTTGCATGAACTTTTATAGAAAATAAAAGCATGGGGGCATTTCTACGGAGTAAGCGTTTCTAAGTTTCTGTGAATGAGAACACACACATCAAGGCTGGATATAGATCACACTGAATGACTTACGACCAACAATCCAGTCTTTTCCAAGAGCTTGGACAGAGCATGAGAAGTACAGGTTTAGCTCCATTCAAGAAATGGGTTTGTCCAAACAAATCCCCAAAATAAGATAGACTTCTGCTAGTTACAGGCAACACGCATTTCTATATTCTAATGAGCAACTAGCCAAGGTACAGTGACAGCATCCCTCCTTCATTTTCACGCTTAGCTGGTAGCACAGGTCACACGATGGTGACTTACCACTTTCAGATCAGATGCTGAAATTCTGGGTGTAGAGATGCAAAACAAGTATTACACAGAATATTGGAATTCAGAAGGATTACTCACTTCAGAATCAAGATTGCATTTAAAGTTTAAAATAAAAAGTTTTAAAAAGTGGTTTACTTAACCTTTAACAAGATTACAGACTGTGGTCTGTATTCTGCAATGAAGTTTTCAAGTACAGACACAGACAACAAGCTCCTACTATACAAAAACGCACATTCAGGAAACCTCTTCAAGATAAATGATTAGGATTTACCTGGAATAGGGTGAGTAAATTTAGTCACATAAAAAGCATCACGATCTCCCTCTAGAGGACATTCTAGCTCTTTATCTGAACTTTACACTTGCTAAAAGCAGTGACAGAAACCGAAAGAGCAAGCAGAAATTCTTCTCCTCTCAAGCAGTACAAGTTTATCATCTATTAAAGCATCCTTCCACTTAAGTGATGTCTAGAAAGGAAAAAAAAAAAAAAAAAAAAGAAGTTCCGGGATAACTTAAGTATCAAAGAACAGCATCAGCAGTTAATAAGTACCCTTCCTCCCACCGTTCAGCTTTATGGAAAAAAAACTGCTACCAAATAAAACAGTAGCAAATAAAACACACTGAAGAACTGCACTCCAAGGTCACCATAAGCCTAAACTTAAGCTGAGGTTCCAAAAACTGTTCCCAAGTTACTGCTTCAGTAACAGGAATAGAGGTCACCAGTTGTGCTGCACTGTTGAAAACAGGCCCCCAGCCATGACTCCTTGCAAAAAAAACAAACATATTAAGAAATTGACCTCTGTTCAAAAAGCTATAACTTCAGACAGACAAGAAGGGATGGAGTGAAACTTCATAGCTACTCTATACTTCCCAAGCAGCTCTATTTTACTTTTGCACACACACAAACGTGTGTGTGAAAGTCAAAAAAGGTTGTGTGAAGCTAAGAATTAAGATGACTCCTTGAACACACCAGGTAAGGGGTTTCCCCTTAGGACACCAGAAGGAAACTGAAGACCTACCATCTAACTTTATTTTCTACATCAACACTGTCCCAAAGTTGCCAACCTTGGTCTAACTAAATAAAACCCCAAAGTGCACGTTGCACTTTGCTGTAAACATAAAAGACTTTAACACCTGTTTCAACCAGCTTGTGGCATTGCTGACATGCTTTATAACGCGGCCAGCTACCAGAAAGCCAGCGGGACAAGCAGCAACGCACCCTAAGAGCGAAGAGGCCCCG